CCAAAGGACAGATCAACCAGACAGAAAATAAGTAAGGAGACAGGGACACTGAACAATACATTAGAACAGATTGACCTAAAAGGCATCCACAGACCACTCCACCCAAAAGCAGCAGTATACACATTCTTCTCATGTGCACATGGAATATTTTCAAGAATACATCATATATTCGTCCACAAAAAGAGCCTCAGTAAATTCAAAAAGACTGAAATCCTACCAACAAGCTTCTCAGATCACAAAGACATGAAACTAGAAATAAATTACACAAAGAAAACAAAAAAGCCCATAAACACATGGAGGATTAACAACATGCTCCTAAATAACCAATGGATCAATGACCAAATAAAAACAAAGATCGAGCAATATTTGGAGACAAATGACAACAATAACTCAACACTGCAAAATCTGTGGGATGCAGTGAATGCTGTGCTCAGAGGAAAGTATATTACTATACATGCTTACCTCAGGAAAGAAGAACAATCCCATATGAACAGTCTAACCTCACAATTAATGAAACTAGAAAAAAGAACAAAAAATGAGGCCCAAAGTCAGTAGAAGGAGGGATAATAAAGATTAAGGCAGAAATAAACAAAATCGAGAAGAATTAAACAACAGAAAGTGTCAATGGAAGCAGGACCTGGTTCTTTGAGGAAATAACCAAAATAGATAAGCCCTTAGCCAGACTTATCAAGAAAAAAAGTCTACACAAATAAACAGAATCATAAATGAGAAAGGAAAAATCACTACCCACACCACAGAAATACAAAGAATTATGAGAGAATACTATGAAAAATTATATGCTTAACAAACTGGAAAACCTAGAAGAAATGGACAACTTTCTTGAAAAATACAACCTTCTAAGGCTGACCCAGGAAGAAACAGAAAATCTGAGTAGACCAATACCAGCAACAAAATTGAATTGATAATCAAAAAACTTCCTTAGAACAAAACACCTGGATCACATGGCTTCACTGCTGAATTTTATCAAACATATAGGGAAGACCTAATACCCAGAAGAGGAGGGAATACTTCCAAACTCATTCTATGAGGACAGCATCACTCTAATACCAAAAGCAGACAAACATAACACACAAAAAAAAGAATTACAGATCAATATCCCTGGTGAACACAGATGCAAAAATACTCAACAAAATATTAGCATATCGAATTAAAAAATACATCAAAAAGATCATCCATCAAGATCAAGTAGGATTTATTCCAGGGATGCAAGGATGGTACAATACACAAAAATCCATCCTTATTATCCACCACATCAACAAAACAGGACAGAAACCTCATGATCATCTCCAGAGAAGCTGAAAAAACTTTCGACAAAATTCAACATCAATTAATGATAAAAACTCTCAATAAAATGGGTACAGAGGGCAAGTACCTCAACAAAATAAAGGCCATTTATGACAAACCCACAGCCAACATCATACTTAACAGTGAGAAGCTGAAAGCTTTTCCTTTAAGGTCAGAACAAGACAAGGATGCCCACTCTCCCCGCTTATATTCAACATAGTTCTGGAGGTCCTAGACACAGGAATCAGACAATGCAAACAGATAAAAGGCATCCAGATTGGTAAGGAGGAAGTTAAATTGTCACTGTTTGCAGATGACATGATGTTGTACATAGAAAATCCTAAAGAATCTACCCCAAAGCTACTAGAACTAATAACTGAATTCAGAAACCTGTTGCATTTCTATATACTAATGATGAACTAGCAGAAAGAGAATCAGGAAAACAATTTCATTCACAATTGCATCAAAAAGAATAAAATACCTAGGATTAAACCTAAACAAGGATCTATACCTTGAAAATGACAAGACACTCATGAAAGAAATTAAAGAAGATACCAATAAATGGAAATGCATCCCATGCTCATGGATAGAAAGAATTCATATCATCAAAATGGCCATCCTGCCTAAAGTCATCTACAGATTCAATACAATTCCTATCAAAATAGCAATGGCATTCTTCAACAAACTAAAGCAAATAGTTCTAAAATTCATATGGAACCATAAAAGAGCCTGAATAGCAAAGCAGTCCTGAGAAGGAAGAATAAAGGTAGGGGAATTATGCTCCCTGACTTCAAGCTCTACTACAAAGCTACAGTGATCAAGACAATTTGGTACTGGCACAAAAACAGACCCATAGACCAATGGAACAGATTAGAGAGCCCAGCATATATGGTCAATTAATATATGATAAAGGAGCCATGCATATACAGTGGATAAATGACAGCCTCTTCAACAACTGGTGTTGGCAAAACTGGACCAGAGAATGAAACATGCTAGAGAATGAAAGTGGATTATTGTCTGACCCCATACACAGAAGTAAACTCAAAATGGATCAAAGACCTGAATGTAAGTCATGAAACCATAAAACTCTTAGAAGACAACATAGGCAAAAATCTCTTAAATATAAACATGAGCAACTTTTTTCTTAATGCTTCTCCTTGGGGAGGGAAACAAAAGCAAAAGTGAACAAATGGGATTACATCAAGCTAAAAAGCTTCTGTACAGCAAAGGATGCCATCAGTATAACAAGATGGTATCCTACAGTATGGGAGAATATATTTGTAAATGACATATCTGACAAGGGGTTAACATCCAAAATACATAAAGAATTCACAAGCCTCAATACCCAAAAACAAATAACCTGATTAAAAAATGGGCAGAGGATATGAAGAGACAGTTCTCCTAAGAAGAAATTCAGATGGCCAAGAGACACATGAAAAGATGCTCCACATCACTAATCATCAGGGAAATGAAAATTAAAACCACAATGAGATATTGTTAGGATGGCCACCATCAAAAAGACTAGGAACAACAAATGCTGGTGAGAATGCAGAGAAAGGGGAATCCTCCTACACTGCTGGTGGGACTGTAAACTAGTTCAACCATTGTGGAAAGCAATATGGAGGTTCCTCAAAAAGCTAAAAATAGTAATACGATATGACCCAGGAATTCCACTCCTAGGAATTTACCCAAAGAAAACAAGTTCTTGGATTCAAAAAGACATATGCACCCCTATGTTTATCATAACACTATTTACAATAGCCAAGATATGGAAGCAACCTAAGTGGCCATCAGTAGATGAGTGGATAAAGAAGATGTAGTACATATACACAATGGAATATTATTCAGCCATAAGAAAAAAAATAAATCCTACCATTTACCACAACATGGATGGAGCTAGAGGGTATTATGCTCAGAGAAATAAGCCAGGTGGAGAAAAACAAGTACCAAATGATTTCCCTCATTTGTGGAGTATAACAACAAAGCAAAACTGAAGGTACAAAACAGCAGCAGACTCACAGACTCCAAGAAGGGACTAGAAGCTACCAAAAGGGAGGGGTGGTAGAGTATGGGTGGGAAGGGAGGGAGAAGGGGATTGATGGGTATTATGATTAGTACACATGGTGTAGGGGTGGTCATGGGGAAGAGAGTGTAGCACAGAGAAGAGAAGTCGTGACTCTGTGGCATTTTATTATACTGATGGATAGTGACTGCAGTGGGGTATGGAGGGGACTTGATAATATGGGTGAATGTAGTAACCACAATTTTTTCATGTGAAACCTTCATAAGAGTGTATATCAATGATACCTTAATAAATAAAAAGAATGCTCACAGTAGATTTATACATAAGATCCCAAACTGGAACATTTCAAATGTCTATCAACAGGAGATGCAAAAACAAATTGGTATATTCATATAATGGATACTATTTTGCAATTGAAGCAAACTACTTATTTATGCAAAAACATGTATAGATCTCTCACATATTAAGGTGACTTAAGGAAGCAGACATGAAAAAGGTCTAGGGTAGACAAACCTAATCTATGCAGGTAGAAATCTGCAGGTAGAAATAATGATATTGACAAGTTTGTCCTAGTGGAAGGGACTGTCTTGGAAGAGGCCTAATGGGACTGAATGGGTCAATGGAAGGGTCCTTTATGTTGGCTGAGGTATAAGATACACGGGTTTATACTTCTGTCAGAACTCAAAGAACTTCATACTTAAAATTTCTATTTACATTATATCTACAAAGCATGGAGTGAATTCTTGGTAAGGTTATAGCAGCCAATATTGCTATAAACCTATGGCAAACACGGAAAGGGCTTACATTTGGAGTATTATTCAAAACTAAAATTTAGATTTTAGAGCATGGTAGTCAGTCATGTATAGGCATTTCAAAGATCACCAGCTTTTAAGTATCTCTGTAATAAGATGGCTACTATAAAAAAAATCAGAAAATAACCAGTGTTGGTGAGTATGTGGAGAAACTGTAACCCTTGTACACTGTCGATAGAAATGTAAAATGATAAGCTACTATGGAAAACAGTATGGCCGTTTCTCAAAACAGAGTTACTATACCATCCAGCAGTTCGATTTCTTGGTACGTATTAAAAGGAACTGAAAGCAAAGACTCAAATAGATATTTGTACACTCATATTCAAAGCAGAATTATTCACAGTGACCAAAAGGTGGAAGTAACCAAGTATTTATTGATGGATGAATGGATAAGCAAAATGTAGTATATATGCAGTGGAATATTATTCAAAGGAAGGAAATTCTTAAATATACTGTAACATGGGTGAACCTTAAGGACATTACGTTATGTGAAATAAGCCCGTCACAAAGAGGACAATACCATATGATTCTATTTATATGAGGTACCTATGAGTAGTCAAATTCATAAAGACAGAAAGTAGAATGATAGTTGCTAGGGGTAAGGGGGAGAGGGTCATAGGAAATTATTGTTTAATGGGTCCAGAGTTTCACTTCTGCAAGATGAAAAAGGTTCTGGAAATGTATGGTACATTTACACAGTGATGTAAATGTACTTAATGTCACTGCATTATATGCTTAAAAATGGTTAAGATGGTACATTTTATGTTATGTATATTTACCAAATTTAAAAAATAAATTCCTAAAAATAATCAAAGGTGTAAACAACCTGAGTCCACTGGACTTGATCTTTATAGACTTACCTAGGTAGTTCTTACTTGGAAATATTCTCTCTGTTGTCCATAGTTCTTCTCCTTGTTCCAACTTGCGGATCATATCAGGCTTAGTCATATGAAACCCTGATAACAAAGAATGAGACTTGGTCTAAGCTGCCTGGGCATCAAGACTCTTGAAGCAAGAGAAAAATACAGGTTCAAGGTGGTACAGGAAGTACACATTAATATCTTACCAAAATTAGTATCTCGCACTAGGCAAATGAGAACATAATCACACTTTATATTAACAAAAAGGGATTTATCACCTCTGATCTCTGAAATTCAAAGTTCCATAGGTTTCAGAAATTTTTGAAAGGAGAGAGATGACCTTGAAAGATTCAAGCAATTTGTCCTTACCAACAGAGATGAGGTGGCAGTAGTTTTCCAACATGACATCCCTGTAAAGGGCCTTCTGGGCTGGTTCCAGTTGCCGCCACTCCTCCTGGGTGAAGTCCACAGTCACATCCTTGAATGACACTGATCCCTGTAAGGGCATACTCTAGTTCATCCTAAATGATTGGAACTAGTGAGAACTAGATATTGGAGACTGTGTTCAGTGGCCAGACTAGTTTTCTTATTCTGTAGAAAATTTTCACTGAAAATACATTCATCTGTATTTACTTATTATCTTATGTTAAAAATATATGAGGTCATACTGTTTTCCCTGAATGCAGTTGGTTGTTTGGTGGACCAAATTAACAAAACGCTGACCTTCCTCATAAGAAGTTACAGGTAACTTCTTATGAGATATACAAGTAAGCAAATACACTCAGTAGATATTACAGATGCAATGACAGAAATAATGTACAAAGGAAAGTGATATAAAGTGAAAAAATTTTATTTTGTATTCCATAACTTCATTGAGGACATAAAAATTTTGTACTCACAATGATTTGTTTTGTAGAAATACAGGGCATCGGCTCTTAAGATACATGGGGAAAGGGAACCAGTTAGTAAATTCAGGAAGTAGGAAAAAGCACAGTATGTTAGGAAAAAGTCTTTAAGCTTTAAGCTTTAAGAACAAAAAGGTACATGGAGGTAGGCAAAAGGTATGTTTATGGAATAATACTGGATCTTTTTCCTACAGGGTAGTGCTATTAAATATGTACTTAGCACACTCCCAACATATTTGTATTAATTTATAAAGCATTAGTTGGTATTAATGGCAGTCCACATTGTTAATGATTACTCCTCTTGAATTGTAAACTGTTAGTATTTTCCTCCCTTTCAATATATTGTCTTGTGCATTTCACGGTAATGCATACTGTGTTTTCAGTCTGCTGCTTTATGGAATATAAAGAACATCAAGAAATGTTAAGTCAGCACATGTATTATGTGATAAAATTTGTACTTAGAGGAAATACTCTTGAAGACTAGAGAAGGCTTGAGCTGTGGTAGGCGGGGAAGACAATTAAGTAACCACTGTTAGAGATGCCTCCTACATTAAGGTGGTATTAGTGATCTAGATGGGGACAACTGGTGCTACATAAGTTGCAAAAGAATTTATCATAAATTGGTTTGTAGATTGGCAAAAAGGCCTAGCTCTAGGATTATCTGCATATCTGGGTGGGTGCTGGGACTAGAACTGGAAATGGAAAAAATAAGATGGACCAAATGAGGTAATAAGGTAAATCTTGGAAATGAACTTGAAGTATCTACGGAACATACAGATAGTGACAGCTGTTGCAGGTTGTATATATGGTTCTGACACTGGATGGAGGTCTTGGATGGAGAGAGGAATTTGAGAGTCACTAGAATCTGATCAGTATAACCTTTAGAGTGAATCTACTGTACATAGAGAAAAAGATGGTGACAAGAACCAATTAGCATGGGGGAAACCCAGTATTTGAAAGATAGGTAATGAAGTAGAATTTTCTGAAAGACAGATATGAAAACAGGATAAAGTACCACCTTTGATTCAAGAGTAGACTATTTCAAGAGTGGACTAGCATATGAATTTCCTTCTCCTGCACCCACATATAAAAAAGTAGAAAAAATTAAAAAGATCAGACTAAATCTGTAACAGTGTTGAAATACTAGAAAGGTTTCCATGGTAGAACAGGTTTGTAGGAAATGCTAGCAGATACAGACAAAATACACAGGAAGATCAGAGAGGAGAAATGCAAAATGTCAGCTTTCTGTATAAGCTTGCAAGCAAACCTCTATCCTGAAAACCTCAAAAATAGGACATCTTACCACAAACTAAATAATGTGAGTTACTAGTTCTACCTCCCATCATACCATTGCAAAACCTACATTGGTGGAGATGATTTAAGGCTTGTCCATGTCTGCTCAACTCCTCAACACTTAGATCTCAAATCAGTGTCTAGACAAGATAGATTCATTCAAGTAATATGGTCCCATTTAAAATTAAGACAATACATTTCTATTCTAGCAGTACTTTTGTGAGAAGGCTGAGAAAGGAGATGATGATGATACACCTCATCAATATGCAAATATTGGCTACATCTATGAAGTGCACTTGGGGAAGGCTTAAATTTGTCTTGGAGTAAGATAAGCAGGGAACAAGACTGCAATTAGGGTGAGGCAACCAGGGTGCAAAATTTAGGACACAAAGCTCTGAGAGTACTCTTAAAGTTTGCACCTACATCATTTGCTTGCCCTACTGAAGACCAGTTTCATGGAATATCCAGGAAACTTAAGGACAGGGAAGCAAATGTTCACGTAACCTGAAAAGTTATTTCATAAAGAGAGGAAACATCATCTCACCTGAGGCATGGCTTTGAGATTTGCAAAAGATGAACCTTCTCTTTTGAGCTCCTCTTTGGAAAAGGGAAGAGTCCTGAGAAGGCAGAGATGGGAGGATACAAATAGCCATGTGAAACCATATTTATTTTGATCCCTCAGAATAACATTTAAATGTACATCAATTTTCACTGTTTCAGCACCTGCCCGTTCTTTGTGCCCCACACAAATCCAGGATGGAGGTTAATGGGAAATCAGACAAACATTGCTCTCTCACCAATACCAGAAACCTAGTCTCTTGGTGAGGTAGAATGGATTCTGAGGAATCTGTTGTAGCTTGGAGAGAAGGAAGATTTTGCTTTTCTCTCTGCAGCTTTACCATCCATCTCCCATGGAATACAGGTTTACCATATATTTCCAAATTGTCCTTCATAGACTTTCCAGTCACCAGTAGTGCATGAGAATACCTCCCAATATGCTGGTGAATGCAGTTGACATAACTTTTTTTTTTGGACAATAACTTTTTAATGTCTGTTTATTTGTCTGTTACATCATAATATCTGTTTAATCTGTTATATTTTGTAGTTCTAATTTACATGTCTTATTACATGTGAGAATAAGCTCCTTTTCTATAATGGCATCTTCTTATAGTGTGTCTATTTTCCTCGTTGTAATTTCCTAATTGGTTGCCATTATCTTTTTTTAATTTAGTAAATTAACTCTTTAAGTTGCAAATAACTTTTCTTAGTTGCTTATATGACTAGTAAAGTGTTTTGCCTTGTGAAATTTTTTCCCTGTATGTTTTGTTGTTTAGCAATACTATGCATTATATAACACATATTTTGTGAACTGATGTGAAATGCCATCTGTATCACATATTACATATCTGTATATACTTGAGAATGTCTGGACTTTCTATTTAATTTCTCTACATAATATCTTTATTGATTCACCTGTATCACACTATTTAATAAGCATAGTTTATTAGTGAAAATTAACTTATTTATTTACTGATAGCTAATTTAACTATTAACTATTGAATAACATATTTTCATAGTACAGATATGGAAATACAAATTATCTTTCCCCTCTGTAGACTTCCAGAGAGTATAGTATTTTGCTAAATGAAGTCTAAAGTACTGACTTCTACAGTGAATACTTTAATTAGCAAAATAATATTTAATTATTAAAATGAGACAGGCCTTGTGATTAAAGTATACCAAATACTGTTTTATTATCTTGGATGCCTGAAGAAGCTATTGACTCTGCCACAGCTTTCTTCCAGAGCAGGAAACCTCACTTATATATCAGTGTTGAAAGTGATTAGCTATGGGTAAAAATTGTTTTTTTCCTGCATACTATTGCTCATGGAACACTGGTCATTTCAACACACTGGTTTTAGTTCCTATAGCATTTCCCTGTGATAAATCTTACCATCTGGGAATTATGAAATGTTACCTCTTTCTTTCCAATATTTATACCTCTATTTTGTTTGTTAATTGCTGCTGAGTCACAATTTTGGAGGCAAGTTTAGTGACCACTATTTAGATAAATCTTACATACCCAACTAGATAGTGATCATACAGAGTTGCTCAATCACAAAACCATTACAAATAATAGCAGTAGGTTACAAACGCATGAACAGTTACATTCAATCGAACTTCAGAAAACCACCAGCCCATAGCACCCGTATATCCACAACCTGAGACAGCACAGTACATAATTAAGTCCAGGCAAAGTAACAGAATCACATCACAAATCACTTTCGATTCTCCATAGTCACCTACAGTCTCAAACACGACTCATACCTAATCTAAAAACAAACACGTACAGAGGAAATCTCACGCAGCAACACGACTCCGTCCACCTTTCACGCACAATCGGCCGCAACATCTCTGAATCGCACGCACCCAAACAGCAGGCTGGGCACAGGAGGCCGCCTCCATACGGTGCACACGTACGCGCGCGCGCACACACACACAGCGCCCGCTGCCAGACGCCCCTGCGATGGAGCTTCCTTGGTGTCAAAACAAACAAAATCTCCCCTCGCGGAGCTCGCTCCAGGTCACGCCCGATTGTCACCCTCTGGGTCACGCCCACGGACCGCGCCCGAGGCCCCGCTCGCACGGACCTAAGTGTCTGGTTACCGCGGGCTCGGTTCCGCTCCTTCCTCAGAATGGCCAGGCCCAGCGTGGGTTCCCAGTTTCCTCCCTGGCCTCCTCACCGGGTCCCGCTCCCTAGTCTGCCCTCCCAAACCCGAGCTCCGGGCTCCCGCCCGCTCCTCCGAAGCTCCTAGGACCCGCCAACCTCACCCACGGCCAAGGTTCTGTCGTCTGCGCCTGCGCACTCCGCGTGAGCTGGAGCTCCCAGGAGTCTACGGGGCGACCCGCTAGCAGCGGCGCGGCCCCGACACCCGGCGCGCGGGTGTGCTTGTGTCGGAGTCGGCGCTTTTCTGGCATAGATTACGTTTCTCGCAGACCCAGAGGAACATAACTACGACCTCTGTTCGTTTTCCGCCAGCCTTGCGATCATGGTTTTGCGTGCGGTGAGGTGAGGTGACCCAGGTCTGGGTGCGAGAAGGAGCTCACTGCAGGGTGCCCAGAGGTTCCCTAGCGTAGGTGGCGCAGGTGGAGGCCGGAACCTCAGCCCTGTGTGAGTCACCTGCTGAGGATAATGAGTGTGCGTGCGATTGTGTAGACTGCGTCAGTGTGGGATGTGATTAGAGAGTGTGTGTCACCGGGCCAGGGTCTGTGCGAAGGGGTCAGGGTGTGTGCGTGGTGGGCACGCCCTAATTGGCCTCGATTAGTCTCCTGAAACTGGGAGTGGGGCGGGGCCTTTTTATGTCCTCAGTCAGCTGTGACTGAGGTGTGTTATACTGCGACCAACTGACCCCGTGACAGCGCTATTGTGACCTGTGACCTAGTGGAGACTGATCAAAATTGGCCTAGTGTAGGATGGTAGAGGTTAATTTTTGCATTTCTGGAGCTGAGGAATCTGTGGACCAGATCCCTGTGTGAATCAATCTGTGCCTGTCAGATTCTGATGCCCTAGTTAACCGCAGAGGCCTTTTGCCTCTGTTGCCCTCATCAGTGCACCCTTATCCATTGTCCAGCCTAGTGCTAAATACACAGTAGGTGTGCAGTACATTAAGTGTACCCTACTCTGGAGCCAATTGTAAGTTGCATAGTTTCTTGAAATTCGTTATATTGGGTTTTCTTTTACCTTATACTGCAAAAAAATACTAGTTACCCAAATATGGCTGTCAAAGGGAAGTTGAATATTTGAGACCTAGAATGAAGGTTCCAATTGAAGAAGCATAGCCCCGTGTTTATTTTGGCGAATGTAGAGCTGGAATTGTCCCCAAGGCTGGGTCCAAGAAGGACATGATACTGAGGCTCCAAAAATAGGATTCCTTTCTCCTGAGATTCTCTTGGAAGTTCTGTTGCAGCAAGACGCCTACTACAAATCCACAGCATTTTCATAGGCTCTGTTGACAGGAAATAGCTGTGAACATAGAAACAGATTCCAGTATCAGGCTTCAGTGAACCTGACTTTTCCTTGTGATACAGGGAAGGGTCATCAGTATCTGATTTTTTCCTAATACTTCCATCTGGGTATGTTTAATATGGATGATGGAGACTTGCTAATGATGAAGAATGTCCTCTTATATAGCCTGTCTGGGCTCCAAGAAAGCCCTTGAGGTATGTCATGAGTCCCTTTTCTTTCCAAGTTTTGCTGTATTCCAAAAGAAGAACCATGAGAGGGGCAAAAAAGACAAGCTGGAGGTCATTTTGAGTTTTTTTCTTATGAAATGCATTTTTGTGTTTCAGGATATAGAATAACTTAATAAGAAGATATCAGGCATGTCTTGCCGAATAGTGACTTACCCATTTACTTGGTTTCTAGGACTTATCCTCCCAGTTAATGATGGAACCATGAGGATACATCTCTTTCCCAGTTCCTCATCAAATGCCCTTAATTTTCATAAACCACTTTGAAACACCTCCACATTATGCTCTTTTTGTATAGGCATTTTCTTTTTTTTTAAAGTTCTTTTTTTAGGTATCCTTGATATACACTCTTATAAAGGTTTCACATGAAAAACACTGTGGTTGCTACAGTCACCCATATTATCAAGTCCCCCACACACCCCCAGTTGCAGTCACTGTCCATCATCATAGTAAGATGCCACAGAGTCACTACTTGTCTTCTCTGTGCTACCCTGTCTTCCTTGTGACTCCACACACACACCATGTGTGCCAATCATAATGCCCCTCAATCCCCTTCTCCCTCCCCACTCACCCTCTCCCACCCCTCCCCTTAGGTAACTGCTAGTCCCTGCTAGAGTCTGTGAGTCTGCTACCGTTTTGTTCCTTCAGTTTTTCTTTACCGTTATACTACACAAATGAGGGAAATCATTTGGAACTTGTCTTTCTCCACCTGGCTTATTTCACTAAGCATAATACCCTCTAGCTCCATCCATGTTGTTGCAAATGGTAGGATTTGTTTTCTTCTTATGGCTGAATAATATTTCATTGTGTATATGTACCACATCTTCTTTATCCATTCATCTACTAATGGACACTTAGGTTGCTGCCATATCTTGGCTACTGTAAATAGTACTGTGAAACATAGGGGTGCATATGTCTTTTTGAATCTGGGATCTTGTTTTCTTTGGGTAAATTCCTAGGAGTGAACTTCCTGGGTCAAATGGTATTTCTATTTTGTTTTTTGAGGAACCTCCATATTGCTTTCCACAATGGTTAAACTAGTTTACAGTCCCACCAGCTGTGTAGGAGGATTCCCCTTTATCTGCATCCTCACCAGCATTTGTTGTTGCTTGCCTTTTGGATGTTGGCCATCCTAACAAGTGTGAGGTGATATCTCATTGTGATTTTAATTTGCATTTCCCTGATGATTAGTGATGTGGAGCATCTTTTCTTGTGTCTATTGGACATCTGAATTTCTTCTTTGGAGAAGTGTCTGCTCATATCCTCCACCTATATTTTAATCAGGTTATTTACTTTTTAGATGTTGAGGTGTGTGAGTTCTTTATATATTTTGCATGTTAACCATTTGTCGGATATGTCATATACAGATATATTCTCCCAGACTGTAGGATGTCTTTTTGACTACTGATGGTGTCCTTTGCTGTACAGAAGCTTTTTAATTTGATACAGTCCCGTTTGTTCATTTTTGCTTTTGTTTCCCTTGCCCAACGAGATGTGTTCAAGAAAAAGTTGCCTATGATTCAAGAGATTTTTGCCTATGTTTTCTTGTAAGAGTTTTATAGTTCCATAACTTACATTCAGGTCTTTGATACATTTCAAGTTTACTTTTGTGTATGGAGTTAGACAGTAATCCAGTTTCATTCTCTTGCATGTAGCTGTCCAGTTTTGCCAACACCAGTTTTTGAAGAGGCTGTCATTTCTCCATTGTATATGCATGGCTCCTTTATTGTATGTTAATTGACCATATATGCTTGGGTTTATATCTGGGCTCTCTAATCTGTTCCACTGATCTATGGGTCTGTTTTTGTGCCAGTACCAAATTGTCTTGATTACTGTGGCTTTGTAGTAGATCTTGAAGTTGGAAAGCATAATCCCCCCAGCTTTACTCTTCCTTCTCAGGATTGCTTTGGCTATTCGGGTCTATTGTGGTTCCATATGAATTCTAGTGAATGCTGTTGGTATTTTGATAGGGATAGCATTGAATCTGTAGATTGTTTTAGGCAATATGGCCATTTTGACAATATTAACTCTTCCTATCCATGAACATGGGATGTATTTCTATTTATTGATGACTTTTTAAATTTCTCTCTTGAGTGTCTTGTAGTTTTCAGGGTATAGGTCTTTAACTTCCTTGGTTAGGTTTAATCCAAGGTATTTTATTCTTCTTGATGCAACTGTAAATGAAATTGTTTTCCTGATTTCTTTTTCTGCTAGTTCATCATTAGTATATAGGAAGGCAACAGATTTCTTTGTGTTGATTTTGTATCCTGCAACACTGCTGAATTCAGTTATTAGTTCTAGTAGTTTTAGGGTGGATCCTTTAGGGTTTTTTATGTACAATATTATGTCATCTGCAAACAGTGACAGTTTTCACTTCTTCTTTACCAATCTGGATGTCTTTTATTTCTTTGAGTTGTCTGATTGCTTTGGCTAGGACCTCCAGTAGTATGTTGAATAAAAGTGGGAATAGTAGGCATCTTTGTCTTGTTCCCCATCTTAAAGGAAAAGCTTTCAGCTTCTTGCTGTTAAGTATGATGTTGGCTGTGGATTTGTCATATATGGCCTTTATTATGTTGAGGTAGTTACCCTCTATACCCATTTTGTTGAGAGTTTTTATCATGAATGGATGTTGAATTTTGTTGAATGCTTTTTCAGCATCTATGGAGATGATCATGTGGTTTTTGTCCTCCTTTTTGTTGATGTGGTGGATGATGTTCATGGATTTTCTAATATTGTACCATCCTTGCATCCCTGGAATAAATCCTCCTTGATCATGATGGATGATCTTTAAATACATTTTTGAATTCGGTTTGCTCATATTTTGTTCAGTATTTTTGCATGTATGTTCATCAGGGATATTGGTCTGTAATTTTCTTTTTTTGTGTTGAGTTTGTCTGGCTTGGTATTAGAGTGAAGCTGTCCTCATAGAATGAGTTTGGAAGTATTCCCTCTTCCACTTTTTGGAAAACTTTAAGGAGGATAGGTATTAGGTCTTCACTAAATGTTTGATAAAATTCAGGAGTGAAGCCATCTGGTCCAAGGAATTTTGTTCTTAGGTAGTTTTTTTATTACCAATTCAATTTAATTTCTATTCAGATTTTCTGTTTCTTTCTGGAAGGTTGTATTTTTCTAGAAAGTTGTCCATTTCTTCTAAGTTATCCAGTTTGTTAGCATATAATTTTTCATAGTATTCTCTAATAATTCTTTGTATTTCTGTAGTGTCTGTAGTAATTTTTCCTTTTTCATTTCTGATTCTGTTTATGTGTGTAGGTTCTCTTTTTTTCTTGGTAAGTCTAGCTAGGGGTTTATCAATTTTGTTAATTTTCTCGAAGAACCAGCTCCTGCTTTCATTGATTCTTTCTGTTATTTTATTCTTCTCGATTT